GGACGTTCATCTGAATGGACGCCCTGATGGATCTATCCAAAGAAAAATATATTGAAAAGCAACAAGAAGCGGACACTACACAAATTAACATAACTTCGTCTCTCTATTTATCAAAAATCCAATCTCGTAAGCCGCCCCTTGTAAACAGAGGGAAAAGTACATCTGTTCCGAAAATACTTTAAAGGACAAAATTGAACCTCAGTGAGGATAACCTTATTGGAAATTGGCAGTTCTGAGAAGTTTATCGACCGTAATTGGACTGAAGAGAATAAGCCAACAAAAATGCCAAAAGTGGAGAGGAAGATATTTTTGTAAAAATTCCATTCGAAGGTAATATCACCGCTGGCTGAGTTAGTAGAGTTTTATCGACCGCAGTAAAGTCCACCTTTGATGATGCTGAGATAAGATGCGTGTTCTCTACTNTATAAGCTTTTGATCTCATCTATGATTGTCTATCAATGCAACTGTCCATGTGATGTGACTTGTGTAGGACCCATTAACAAATGCAAGACTCATCCAAAATTATGTTCGATTTTATTCAAATTGGTTCTTATAAATGTGATTGCATAATGGCTTCAAAAGTAATTTACCAAAACCATGTTCCCCTACACCATGTGTCCTTAAGCATCGGGCATATTTTGTGATTTGCACAAATATTGCCTTAAAAGAACTAGCGAATATTCAGCGACTTTATCCTTTCGAAAAGTCATTTCGTTTTGAATATGCTAACCCAGTCATGGTATGACATATCATCATATGGTGGAAAAATGTCTAGATGCTAATGGCCATTAGCTCGGTTTTCAGGTCATGGATCGGACACATAGGGTAGACTTTCACGCTGATGTGTAAGTGTGCATGCAGTAGTGTGACATCTTGTAAACACCGGACCCTTTGTTCGAACCGGGGTAGAAGTAGTTTATGGCATACCGCTAAAGCTATCAAAGACCACATAAGCGTAAACAGAACAGACACGGCGAAGATGATCGTTATTCACATTATATGTCCAAACCTGTTTGAAGAGCAGGACTTGCCCTAACCAATGAACTGAACGTTCTTCTCTTTTTACACATCCCTGCGAACCTCGACCATTTACCTCCGGTTAATGACATTCACTCGAGCCAACGGTTGTCAAAATTTCAAAGGTGAAATTCGTCGTGTATATAAAGCAAATGAAGCGTGAACTGAAAACCTGGAAAGCACTGGACAATTGTTTCGACCTAGTTGGGTCTCTTGGTTGGGTCAACACTTTTCCTGCCATATGAAGGGCAGGAGCTTGATAAGAATAACCCGAAAATGATCATTTGCTCATCAGCAAACGTCTGACAATTATTACTCCTTTCTTAGGAATGAATCAACATTTGAAGAAATGTGATAAATTTGTGTAAGCGTGAAACGTGAGCTGCAAAGATAAGAAGTACTGGACAACTAGTTTGACCTGGTTGGGTTCCATCATCAGTACGGGACCTCACAGGTAGGAGGCAAGTATACTAACTGTTTAACTCACACCTCAGTTACATAACAAATTCATCACAATTAATCAATTCAACATCCCCATCACTCTCATGAACTAATATTTATTGAAAAAGTATAATCAATAGCAAATAGATTTATTGTATTATTCACCACAAAATAGCACTACGTAGACCTAGTGTTTGGGAGATCGCGTGGACTATGTAAATGTAATTCCTGATTTAGTTTATTTACCCACATGTTCAAGGCGGTGAATGATTTTCAAGCATATAATTGAGGATTAGGGGTTCTGCTCGCAACCAAAAATGTTGCTGCCTACATCCCTAACGAGTCACAACAATATTAGGCACTGCTGAGAAATCTCCAGAATGATGCATCAACTATCCAATTTCCTTTGTCAGTCAACTCATCATGGTCTATACTTTCCATTCATAAAAGACAAAAAAAAACATTAAAACAACATTCCATTTCCACCCTCACCTCTCGACAAATTACAATCGTCGAGTGACATACTTCTGTTTGGACCAGTGATAGACTGCCTTGATTCCTTCCTTGACGATGTGAATGGGATGAGCTAGCTGGTTGTTATTCCAAACTTCAACTTCAAAGTTCACATTTAAGGTACACTAACGACAATTTGAAAGTGCGAACAGTTCTGAATCTTTAATCAGTCTCTTTGAGGAGCAAATTTTCAATCGTTATAGTTTGTTTTACAAACTTATGCGTAGTTATTGTACATGTCCTTCGTTTAATTTTATAATTCACACATCTGGACTCTGTGGTAGGCATTATGCACCATCCATTCCGTGATCACGTGATTTAAACACATTGAATTTTTCACTGGTCTGGTTGACATTCATTTGATTATCAGCTCAGCTCACATTGATCGTATCAACCACACATTCCAGACATCCGCAAATGCTTGCAATATGTACTATAGTTTGTGGCAGATGTTCTTGAAAACTTTCGGTTTTCTGCTATTATTTTCCTAATATAGTTTGCAATTTGAATAAAACCAGTAACA